TTCCCATTTCTTCAGCTAATATGTCTCTTGTTATATATTCTGGGTGAGACATCTGCTCTTGATTCATATTTTCAGAGTTTGATTCTGCTTGATTCATATTGATTTCTGGCTGACTTATTCTACCTCTGCCTCTGCTTCTGCCCTCAGAGGTGCCAATAGGAGCAACAGGGGATTCTTCTTGATTGGGGCGGGTGATCCTTTCTGATCTTCTCGATCTACTAGCCATATGTAGATAACAAAGTTAAAACACATATTTCTCACATTCCCAAATATAATAAAGTGTCCAAGTTCAGKTAYKTAYCTGTAGATTCAAAATTACATTGGCCAGATGTAATCCGAAAATACCTTACACACTGACCTCTTAACTTATTACATTTATTCCAAAGGGGCTAACTATGTCTGTGACCCTAATATGCAATGAAATAGTTTAAGTCTAGGTATCATGCATGTGAATACCTAAATCCCTTAAACTCAGGCTCTGATACCAACTCTGTAACACCCCAAATCCACACATTGCATATAACACATATTTCATATATAAAGTACATGTTTTCCCCACATAGGTCCTTGATACAAGAGTATAATATAAAATACACAACCCAAAAATTTCAAAAGTACATGCTCTTGCATCCTATCATCTATGCTTCCAAAAACAGCTAAGCATATAGGGAAGTAATTCACACAATACTCTTTCCCTTATCATTACCTGCACACATAATTTTGGAAACATAAAAATGAGGGTTAAACATGAATGTCTAGTGAGGTTCCCTTCAATGTAATGTAGGGTGAAGATCACCAAAACATTTATTTCAAATCAAACATCTTATGAAGCAAAACTGAAAACATGTTGCTTCGGTCCATCGGGCCTCTGGTTTCAAACAACACTTAGAAAATATTTCGACATCCAGGACAAGAACCCCTCTGGTCTCTCTTCCAGAGCTTCTGGTCTTCACGACCAGAGCCGCTGGTTTCAGTAACTAGACTTTAGAATATAATTCGACATTCAGGACCAGAGCCCCTCTGGTCTCTCTTCCAGCGCTTCTGGCCTTCATGACCAGAGCCTCTGGTTCTAAACCACACTTAGAAAATATTTCAACACAGGACCAGAGCCTCTCTGGTCTCTCTTCCGGAGCTTCTGGTCTTCATGACCAGAGCCTCTGGTTGTACTAACCAGCACCTCTGACTCGTATAATTTCTCAAAAATGGTCTTTAGATAAACCTTCAACCAATAAGATAGCCTTTTTCATAAAACGAGTAATTTATAAAAAGTTCATGTTCGACCAGAGCCTCTGGTTGCACTAACCAGAGCTTCTGGTTCAAAAGACATGACCAACCAGAGCCCCTCTGGTTAAACGTGTAAGTCAACCAGAGCTCCTCCGGTATGTTTTTCATAAAAAGATTCTAAGTATAAAATTCTTTTCTTAAACATTTAAAATATGATTTTGACGTAAAAACACTTAACAAAAGATAAAACACCTCTAATCCAGTTAATACATTTAGTAAAAACTTGCTCATCCTTCAAATCAATAACTAAAATCCTCTGGTCCAATGATGAGGACCAACCAGAGCCCCTCTGGTTCCTTACAAGGAACAACCAGAGCCCCTCTGATTCCTCATGAAAATAACCATTCAGTTTAAAAACACTTTTAACCAATACCAATGGCCATAGGCCAAGTTTTCCCTTTCTCAATAACATCAATACCATTATTTCTAATAAGAACAATATCCTTGAATTCTCAAATCACAAAGAAGTAAGGACTCAAATCTATTGTAGTCTTATAAGACATAATAGTAAGAACTATAATATTCACACACAATTGACACTCTTATTCCAAAAGACACC